TTATGAGTAGACATGAATTAGGAAATAGAGCCCAGACTTTGAGTTCAGAGGACATGAATTCAGTTCTTCCTCTGACACCCAGTAGCTTGTGCTGATATTTGTTCCTGAACTTTCTATTTTGTACAATGGTGTATATAATGTTGCATCCCATGACTGCTATAAGAATCAGATGAATAAAATGGATGTGAGCCTATTCTGTCAACTATAAAGCAGCATGAATATCTCAGTCATTACAACGAGACAGGAGATTAGCTGTCATCATTTGCAGACTAGGTAACAGAGGGCCAGCAATATTAAAATCAGCATTGACACATTGTACACAAGAGCAAAGATAGATCCCACTGCTACCACCACACAAGTGTGCACACATACACACACACACAGCTCATTTCCTGTAGACCCTCATTTTCATTAGATTTGCCTGGACACTTTGAAAAGTAGCACAAATATTTAAAGATTCCTGGGTCCCACTGTATTCTTATGAGTTACATGAGATAGGGAACAAGAATCTTGAGGTTTTAAAAAAACGCTTCCCTCCCTATTGATTCTGAGGCAGCCAAGTAGCACCAGTCAGTGGGAACTGAATGTTTTAGAAACAACCACCTTGACCTTGGTGCCTCTCAATGAGAAAAATGAGCTACCCTAGGCTGCATCCTGCTTTCAGCCTCCAAAAATGATAATATATCTCCCATAACAACTGGGAATTCATATTGTATTGAAATATCCTCCAAATATGCATCTAGTATTGTAAGCACATCCTCAACCAACATTTCTTTTTTTTCCCTGAGTACTCTCTATCCTTGGAATTCCTGCTTGCCTTGAGATTATCTTTGGAAATGATCTGTCTTGTTATTACAAATTTTGTTATTTACTTTCTTTCCAATTAGACATTTCCCTAAAAAAATAAAAAAAGTGCTCAGTGTTGCCCACTGGCAGTTTACTTTGAATATCCATGTCTAATGCATGTGGCTTGATGTCAACACAAAATGCATACCTATGTGATGTCCTTGTTTGAAAATCAAGAATTATTTGTGCCAACCAACCATCTGTCAGCTTGTTGTACTGCATGATGCTAGAAGCTATTCAACTGATATTTCAAATACCAGAACACTCATCTGTATTAGACAGGTTTCAGCAGAGGTTCCAGACTATGCCACACTAGGAAGAAAGTTCTGAAAATTAACCAATGAAACCCAATGAGTCACCATAATATTGTCAAAACAAGGATGCTTCAAAAAGTTCATGCAAGAATAGAATGAAAAGATAGTGAGTTGTTTCTCCCATGAACTTTTTGAAGCCCCTCATGTTGTGCTGTAAGATGAGTCTCACCAAGTTGGAAGGCACTCAGAGTATAAGTAATTGTGATGTAGAAGGTCATCCATGGACTCAAAGATACCAATAATCATGAGGATGGCATAAAGCTGGGCAATGTTTCCTTCTTTTATACACACAGTAGCCATGAGCCAGAGTCCACACAATGGCAACTAACAGGAAAGCAGAGAAACAAAGACTAATGTTTCTATCTCCTATTTCATCATCTGTACTTGCATGTGATTCTAATTATTCCATCCACAAGAAATGAAGGTATCTTTGCTATATCTCAGTTGAGGTTATCAAACCTACCTTTAAGTTACATCTTAGTGGTTATTTTGAAACCAGCTATCAGAAGTCACTATTACATGCACACAATTAGCTCCTTTATCATTAACTCCTTGTTTCCATGAATTTGGACTGAATGTTGCAAACTCAAATACCTCTAGGAGCTAGATGGGGTAATTCAACAAGGGGAGAAGACCTAGAAGAAACCTTGTGACCTGGTGACTAAATGCCCAGACTGACTAGGGCAACCTCCAATTATTACCATGCAGGAATGTGTCCAAGGTTGCTAGATAGTCTGATGATTTTCCAAGAGTGGAACAATAGAAATATCCCTTTTTTAAGTTGGAAAATTAAGAGAAAAACACTGTGGGATTAGTAAAATACTTCCAAGTTAGCTTGACGGAGCCCTGATAGCATAGTGGGTTACCTGCTGGGCTGGTAACAGAAAGGTCAGACGTTCAAATCTACCAGCTGCTCTGCAGGACAAAGATCAGGATTTCTGCTCCTGTTAAGATTTATGGCCTCAGAAACTCTATACAGAGTTGCAGTGAGTCGGAAGCAACCTGATAGAAAACTACCACCCCCACTTCAAGTTAGCTTGAGCCTAAAGACTAGTAGTTCATGACCTCTGATTTATACTATTACTCAAAATCCTGGTCTCTGAACAACTGAAAACAAAAAACAATGTAGGAAAGTCTTATACCCAGTCAATGCAATGATCAATCCTGTCCCCGAATTAGCATTGTATAAGAATGCAAAATTCAGGTCCAAATTCATGGAAGGCCAGAATAGTCAAATAGCCATTTGTCTCAACAGTAACTTGTTTTAAAATGCTATTCAACACTGGATTTGGCTTTGCTTTTCAGGTAGACAGTGACATAACCGGAACCATAGTCTTGTACTTCTTGCAACATGGATTATTTATCCTTCCAAGAATGACGAGCAGGCCTGGTAGCATAGTGGGTTACCAGTTGAGGCTGCTAACCATACGGTCAGCAGCTCAAAATGATCAGTCATTCTGCAGGACAAAGATTAAGTTTTCTGCTCCCGTAGAAAATGTTCTGCTCAGAAACCCTATACAGTGTCTCTTTAGTCGAAACCAGTTCAGTGGCACACAGCCACCACCACCCTCACCACCGCCACCAAGAATGACTGGAGGTGTTTTCTTATGAACAACCCTCTCTCTCATAGTCCTGAGTGATAAGGGTCAGAGAGGAAGCCTGGAATTCAAGAGTGTCAGGAGAGGCTGGTCAACACAGGTCACAATATTGACCATTTTATTGAGAGACTATTTCCTCGGACTGCGAACCTTAAGGCCAGCAGTTTGAAACTACCAGCCGCTCTGCGGGAGAAAGATGAGGCGTTCTGCTCCCATAAAGATTTACAGCCTCGGAAACCCTGTACAGGGTCGCTATGGGTCAGAACCGACTCGAAGGCACTTAACAACAACAGCAACAATTTCCTTTGTTAATATGAAAGTAAGGGGAATGGTTTTCAGTTTGTGTTAGTAAATGATGCTTGGGAAAGTAGCCAACAAGCCCTGTTTCTATTAGAAAGCCAGCGGTACATATGTTGTTGTTGTTAAGTGCTGTCGAGTTGGTTCTGACTCATAGCAACCCTGTATAGGGTTTCCGAGGAGCAGCTGGTGAGTTTGAACAACTGACCTTGCAGTTCAAACTGACCTTGAAGTTGAGTGCTTATCCTACAGCACCACACCAGAACATACAGGTTCCAGCTGATTTATAAAACATGAAGGATGGGTATCTCCAGTTAAAAGATTCTGTAGGAGCTTGAGCTATCTCTAGTTTGGTCCCTTAAAGCTTCCTAGAATATAATTTTTTTATTTTTATTTTTACTTGTGACAGATATAGAAGGAAAGATCTTTAGTGGTAAGGGTTCCAGCAGGAAACAGATGGCATAACCAGAGAGTTTAACCTAAAGATTTAAACTCTTTATAGAGAGACCCTTGATAGGGGTGTGGGCAGCATTACATTACAGGTGTCAACAGAAGATGACAAGGTATAGGAGGTAGCGCTGAGAGAAATTGATTACACCCTTCACTCAGAAGGGTAGATGGGTGGAGTAGGGGAGACTGTTTTACCCGATCCCAGCAAGAACTCCTCTGTGAACGAGAATCTGTTGGTACAGCTGTATGTTGATACAGACAGTCAAGGCCTGTACCTATCAGTTCTCCAATCTCCTGCCAAACCCTCTCTTTGGCTAAATCCAATCAGAGCCCAAAGATCCAAGGAGCCCAAGAAATTAAATCCACAGAAGTCATCCTCCTGGAGCACAGAACTGGGCAGAAAGTGGCAAATTTGGATCATAGTGGTATAAACAGAAGTTATGATTACAGAAGGCAAGGGAAACCATAGATCCGTGGAATGTTAACACAGAAACGAACTTTTCATTCTCGAATCCTCTAATCCTCATCTTGTTGATGAGAAAATCAAGGCCCAGGGAATAGAAACAAGTGGGCAAATGTTGTTGTGGTTGTTAAGTGCTTTCGAGTTGGTTCCGACTCATAGTGATCCTGTGTAGGTTTGAGCCACCAACCTTGTGATCCACAGTCGACTCTCTTCTGATCCTACAGTGCCACACCAGGAGTGCGGGTAAATCTTATACACTTAATGAAGGGCAGAGATGAAACTGAAGGTAGTCATCTTCATATCCATTCTGATGGCTTTCCACTTCATTATTCTGGGAATTGTAAGATAGAAAACTCATATTGGAATCAGAGCAACTTTGTGTAGGGTTTCCCAGGAGCACTTGTTGAATTTGAACCTCCAACTTTGTGGTTCATAGTCCAGTGCTTATCCTACAGCACCACACCAGGTGTGTTGTTGTTAAGTGCCATTGAGTTCTGACCCATAGTGACCCTGTATAGGATTTCCAAGGAGCAGCAGAACTTGAACTGCTGACCTTGTAGTTCAAACCTATTTTGTAGTCCAGCGCATTAACCCGCAGTGCCACTCCAGGTTGTAGGGTTGGCTAGAATGAAAACGCATGCTCCCATTACTGTGTCCATCAGACATCTCCAATCAATTACAGATTTCTTTCCTCCTGAGTCCAGATTTGCTTTTAGAATCTCTCTCATCCCAAGGCTTCAGGCAACAATTAATAATTTATCTACTTGCTGCTCAATTATCTAATAACATGTGATCCACATCTTCAAAATCTAAGTCTTTATTCTGTCTAATAGGATTTTCCTCGTTGAAACATGGCTCACTCTCTAAGGTGCATCCTTGTAGAGTTTGTAACTCCTTGCTTTGGTGAACCTGTACTTGGTGGAGGGCATTTATAGTTTATAAGAAAGGGAAGCATCATGAGATTAGTTTGCTTGAAGAACAATAACAAAAGCCCTAAACCCTGATGAGTTTTCTCTTTCTTTCTCCCTGCAGGTTGACAGAACAGAGGTGATTCGCACCTGCATAAACCCAGTGTATTCAAAACTGTTTACTGTGGATTTTTACTTTGAAGAGGTGCAACGCCTGCGGTTTGAAGTTCACGACATCAGCAGCAACCACAATGGGCTGAAGGAGGCTGACTTCCTTGGTGGCATGGAGTGTACACTTGGCCAGGTCAGCCCCTTTTTCCCACCCTTCCTTAGACTTTTCTTCCTCCCTTGCCTCCCTCCTCTCTCTTATTCAATCCTTGGTTTCTCCTTTCAATTTTATTTTTTATCATGAGACATTTTGCAGCTTCGCAGATACTGTCATGCCCACTATACTTAATAGGGATGAGGCTGCAGATTTGTGAAGAGTTTTTTATCTTTACTGAATTAATCATTTTCTTTTCTGAATCCCCTTATATCAGCTATTTATTTTAACAACTATTTATTGAGCACTTACTATGTGCCTGGCCCCATGACTGCTCATGTGTCTGTTATAACCTTATCTTGATACATCATGAATTTCCATCTCATAGCATGGAGTATTTCTTACTTTTATTCCAAGCATCTAATGCCAAAAAGAACTCCAAGATAGGGGCTAACTAGATATTTTTACTTTATCCTCTTATCAGTAATATGAAAAAACCAACACTCAGAGATATTAAGTGACTTGACCTAAGCCTCACACTAATATGTGGCAGAGCTAGGACTAGACTGTTGTTGTTGTGAAGTGCCGTTGAGTCAGTTCCAACCCATAGTGACCCTGTATAGGGTTTCCAAGGAGCAGCTGGTGAGCTTGAACTGCCGACCTTGCAATTCAAATGGCTTTGCAGTCTGGCACATTAACCCATCGTGCCACACCAGGACTCCAGGACTAGACTAGATCTTCCTAATTCCAAGTCCCATTGTCTCAACTCTATAACACGTTTTATTTTTCCTTCCCTTCCGGCTATACCCAGAACTGTTATAGGTGCTTCTTGTTGTTGTTATTAAGTGCCATCAAGTCAGTTCTGACTCATAGCCAAGTTGTATGAAATTTCCAAGGAGTGAGTGGTGGGTTTGAACTGCCAACCTTGTGATTAGTACTTATAAAAAAACAGTCCCTGTGTCCAGGAAGTGAACAGTCTAACTGGAGAAGGTACAATATGGACATATCAAATACAGTGATTCACGATGTTCCTTAAGCTACAGTGAGACAAGATATCTTGGCTCTATACTCTGTACATAGGGTTGTGGTCATTTGGGAAGGAGAACTTTGCTGTTGAGTAAAATCAAAGAAATTGCCCGAAGTATAACAATTATTCTGAGAATGGTGCAGGACCAGGCACTGTTTTGTTCTGTTGTACACTGGGTTGCTATAAGTTGGAACTAACTCAAAAGTACCTAAGAACAACCACAGAATCAAAGAATGTATTATGGAACAGGTAGTTCTTGAACTAAACTTTGAAAAATATGTGGTCCAAGGATTGAAGACAAAGAAAAGAGATCTTCTAAGTAAACAAGCATAGAGGTCAGAATGAATATTTTATGGTTCTGGGGCTGGGAAGAGAGCTGGTATGACACTGTGGATTAATGCAAGATTGGTGGTAACCACAAGGTTGGCAGTTCACATTCACCAGCCGCTCCTCAGAAACCCTACATAGGTCGCTATGAGTCGGAGGTGACTTGACAGTACTTAACAACAACAAGGGCCTGGGAAAGACAGTGAGTCAAGGTCAAAAGCTCACTGACTCTGAAGGCAATGAGGCTTACTTACACTTTGGAGCCCGTCATTTGCACACGTTTCTTCTAAGGTTCTGTGTTGAGTTTTGTATTTGTAGTTGTGTAGCCTTTTTCTCAAAGATGGCTCCCAATTTATATAAACCCCAGAACACCCCCCCCCCCCAAAACCTGGATCCATCGCTTGTAAAAGTAAAGGGTTTGTATGTGAGAAAGACTGCCTGACAAAGTTTGCACATGTTTGTTTTTCCCTTGCCTTTTTCCACTTATCACTAAAAGGATTTTCTACTACTATGTGGGTACCCAGTGACAAAATAGATAAAAACCTCATTACTCTTTGTCACCAAATATGAAAGCAAAGGACTACTATCAAAATACAACTGAGGGAAGGCAGAGAGTGAACCTGGACTATCCTCTATAAATGTAATCTCTCTCATGGTTTTAATGGCAGATAGTTCCATAGCATTGCTAGGTGAATTTTTACTTTGCACAATAACTAAATATTAGATAAATGAATGAATTATGAAATTGGGGTATAACCCTGTATTTATTCAATCAAATAAGATAATTAAAATGGCATATTTTGTAAATATTAGTAGTGTGGTGCTGTAGAATAAGCATTGGACCAAAAGGTTGGTTTAAACTGCAAGGCCAGTAGTTCAAACCCACAAGCTGCTCCTCAGAAACCCTATACAGGGTTGCTATGAGTCAGAATCAACTAGACAGCACTTAACAACAAAGAACCACACCAGAATTTCCCCTCAAACAATGGGCATCTGTTTTATGTATAAATATTATATTTTATCTCATGAAATAAATCTGTGATAAAACGTGTTTCTCATCCAACGCTTTCATGACTTTGTGGAAATGGCCTTCACACAAACAACCTTAGTTTGTTGTATGTGTGATGAACAAGATTCATCTTTCCATCAGCTGTTTAAATCATTCCAATAGTCAGTAAATTCTTGACCCTCTATTTTGTGCCAGACATTGTGCTTGGTGCTCTCAAGGAAGGGAAAAGAAGACAATTTATCTTCTCATAGATGTTGTTGTTGTTGTTGTTAGGTGCCTTCAAGTCAGTACTGACTCATACCGACCTTATGCACAGCAGAACAAAACACCGCCCCATCCTGGGCCAACCTCACTACTGTTGCCACGCTTCAGTCCATCGATGCTGCCACTTGGCCAATCCAACTCATTGGGAGTCTTCCTTTTTTTCTCTGACCCTCCACCTTACCAAACATGATATCCTACTTCAGCAACTGGTCCCTCCTGACAATATGTC